ATTTTAAAAAATTTGGGTTTAAGTTTTCAAACTTGTTTTATTTATTTAGCATATGACAAAAAATCATACAAAAATTCCTATTTATAAGGATGATGAGAATACAAATGCTTGAAATAGAATAAAATATAGTTGAACCTGTCTATTTTCAAATCTCACGGGAATAAGACAAATTTTGAATTATAGATGTTCATACACAGTAAACAGTAATAGGTTTGGTTGGAGGTACAGTATTTTATTAACACAATAGCAAGCCAAACTCGTAATCAATTGATGAAAAGCTGCATTAGTTGTAGCTATGTACTGCATTGCAAGAAATGTCTCTCAACTACAATTTATGCTATCAAAATGTAGTCACTGAGCTTCTGATTTGTAATTGACACTTCAGTCCATAATTCAAGATACAGAGATTTTGGAGAAAATTATTTGAGATAAATATGGAAATTATATTGAATTTAGGCAGAAAATACTGTACCTCCAGCCAGGGAAAAAAGTATAGATTTTGTGATAAACATGTTTTAGATAGACAGGTTCAACTTGGTATACTGGTGTCAAGTTGTGTAATCCATTCCAGAGCTGATGATGATGATGCCACTGTAATATCCATCCAGTTCTTTGCATAAGACCTATTGCATTGATTCACAATTTGTTCCATATTTTATCTTAGTGCACCAGTGACATTCAGAAATCCTACATTTACCATATTTGACTCATTTGGATTCCATTCAGTTTTGTGTATGTTCTGATTTTCAAATGAATGTATTCATCAGATATATTTACAAATATATTCAGAATAAATTTTAAATAATCATTTGAAAGTTATAAATTAATTTCAAGAATATTATAAAATATTATAAGAATGTTGTAATCTATTATGATTCATATAAAACGTTTTTGAAACATTTGCAAAACCAAAAATTATTTTGGCTCTAAATCCTTTTCACCACTGTATAATTCATAGCTGAAAGCAATTTAGAAGCCATCTATTAATTGTGTGTTCAGTTGAGTGACTTCTGACCATCTCTCTCCCTGTTGTGTACAATGATGTACTTTTGTCAAATCCTCTCCTCTTTAACTATATATACAATAGTTCATAGACCTTCTTCTGACATTGAAAAGAATGAGTAAAAAGTTCTGCAAATATTTTCTGATAGTTAATTTACATTATTAGTAAGTAGGTTTATAAGAACAAATTTATATGCCATTAATACTACTAAAAAATTCACATAGACAATGTCTTGAACCTTTCCTCCTCATCATGTACTGTACAATATACTTTTTACATCCTCTTCCCCTTAATCTGTGCCTGTAATTAGTGTATAACTCTGAAATGTTAAAATAATTTTTTACTTCACTTATCCCTTGATTGATATAAGGTTGCTGCACTCCTGTTCATTTTGCAGGAAATTGATATGTAGTCTGTTTTTGGCCAAAGCCAATTCTCTTCTTTTTATACAGACATAGGATTGGTTGATACTATCATAATCCAGCTGGAGTAAACAAAAACCAATTTTTTTTTTACTATTTTTGATAGGAGATTGCTTAATTTTAGTGGTCTAATAGGAACTAATTTACTTAGCCCAATTAAAATGGTAGAATAATAATTAATTCAGGGTGTTTAGCGTAGAGGTTTAATAAAAGAAAATTTTATAAATTGTATTCATATTGGTCTGGAAATTGGTGGGTTTTTTATGTTGGCATCTATGCCTTGTGAGAAGTGCCATGGTGTGGTGTTTCTCACAAGAGATTAAATAAGTATCAAAGTGATAGATCATACTGACTAGAGCTGCAACTTATGCAATGCATCAACTTCCCCCTGGCACCAATTTTAAATAAATGACTCTTCTCACTTTATAATTCAGATATGACAATATCTGAATGGAGTTTTTCAGATGGTAGATTGGTTCTTACTCCACTGGACTTTTTCCTGCGGGATGTTTTGAAGAATCAAATGTTCACACATATGTGTTTAACTTGATCAATCCGAGACAGAATCTGTCAGGCTATTGACAGATGTCAGATCTCAGATGCTGTTGAATATATGGTTAAAGGAGGAATACAACTTGGACATCTACACCACTGCTGGTGCACATACTGAAGTATGTTGAGTAGAAAACAATGTACCAGAAGTTGATAACTTTTCTGTTAAATTATGATAAGCTTTCAATTTATACTCTTTTTCTTTTATTAAACCTCTAAGCCCTTCATTTGGATATATAATATGTTTGATTATAAATAATTTCATATAACGATATAAACATCAACCTGATTCTATTAGATATGTCAAACAAACTGTCAGATTGTTTATTTGGTTATAGCAAGGTCAATTTAACGATTAGAAATAAAGTAATCGTTAAATTACAGCCTGTAAATAATCCTGCAGTTTGTTTTGCGTATATAAATTATTTTATTACAACTGTTATACATGGCATATAAAAGAGCTAAAGCTGAATAAACTTAGAAGATATTCTACCATACAAAAATTTAATTTTGTAAATTTTAATGGAATATTTAAATTATATTTTAGTTGGTGGCTAGAGTTAAAACTTAATCTTTAAAATCTATATTATAAAAAAATTAAGCTGTTTGTTAAATACATAAAAATGCTTTCAAACTGTGTTGTTGTGTTGTCAAAATAGTCTGTGCCTCTTCTTTCTGCTGCTGCATTTATGTGGCTCGGTTGTATGATGCTCATATGATTGATATTTTGATTTTTAATAGACGTATAGGATTCATGATGGATCCTTCTTAAAACGAATCAAAAATCGGAAAGTTAATTATCAGGTAAGTTTGCATAATTTCTGAAAATCGTCTGTAGATGCAATGATAAAATTGAAAGAATCCAAAGAGATTTCTAAGATTTAAACTGGGTGTATTTACTCAATCGCGCATGGTAAAAAATTTAAATAATATAATTTCATTAATACAATATTTCTTATAATTTATTTGATTTTTTATTGATACTTAAATTAATATGTTGCAGGCACAAGCAACACTTTCTCCTACTCCGAGATTGACGGATGCCTTCAGTCCGAAGCGGAGTCGACTTGGTAGTCTTTCGGAAATCGATGTGGAACAGGTTAAAATAGCTAATTATGCGGATACAGTTCGTCAGTTGGATGCATATTATGGACAAGGTTTGAGAATTAATTTTATTAAAATTAATGGAATTTCATCAATTTATTATTATCTTTTCCTCTTTCTCCTTATAGTTAAAAGGCAGCTCTTAAATTATCAAAGTCCAATAACTGGTCTTTTCCCGAGGCATACAAAAGATAAAGATGAAGGATACATCAGAGACAGTATTTATTGTGCGACAGCTGTTTGGAGCCTTTTCCAATCTTATAAGTATGTTTTATGAAATTATTTCAAAATTTCATGTGTTGTTGTTTAATTTCACGGCATTTCTTATTGGATAATTAATTATAAACTCTTCATAGGAGACTTGATGATGACAGAGGCAAAGCATACGAATTGGGTCAAAGTGTGGTAAAATGTATGCGTGGGATATTATTTTGTTGGATGAAGCAATCCGAGCACAAGGTATTTTCTATAAAATAAATTACATGTTTATAAATTTCTCTCAAATTTAAACATAATCAAATACAATAAGGTAAATTTTTTCCTTTGTATATCATGTTATTACATGGGGGACAATAGCCATTTACCATTTCACTTCATCCCAATGCTAACAATTGTAGAAATAGTAAATCTCTGGGATCTAGCCACCTTTACACCCCATATCCCAGATACTTATTTAAATTAGAATCCTATAGTTGTGTGGAGGCAGGTGATGATAAAATATCTGGCACATGCTGTTGTGTAAATCCATGACATTCTAAATAATAAATGGTGCGGCAGACACTATCATTCTCATTGTGACCGTTACAAACATGGGCAATGAACCTCAGGTAGTGAGTCATTGCCCTCTCTGAAATGGTCTAAATAACCAATTGTAACTGTTTGAGAATCTGATTATCACCAAGTTCAGATTACAGTTTTTTCAACAAAAATGATAAAGTTAATTGTTATTCTTTTGTTTAATCTTATTTTTCAAGTATTACATTCAGAAACAGAAGGTGATCATAGAACAACCATAATAGGAAGATTACCTGTGTCTTCTTGTCATTCAGGATGGTAAAAACGTTCTATTGAATACAGTATCTTTTTTATCTTATGTAGAATTAGAACATTTTGCTTATTTAAGATGCTTTGGAATTTTGGATCTTGTTCCACTTCTTCCAAGTCCTCAAAAGATCTTTCAGAGCAATCTGATATCTCAGTTGATGACAATTTAGTTATTATTTTCTACTGAATCAACATTTTGTTATAAATCAATATTTCAGGTTTATTTTTCTTATGGATTTATTCCCAATTTAATGTTATGTCCTATTCATAAAATAAAAACAACAAAATGATGTATGGTCAAATAATTTATAATGAAATTAAACACTAGCTATTCCTGATATTACTATTTTTCTTCTTTAGATATCATTTTGTCTCAGACTCTTTAAAATACAATATTTATTATCTTATTTAACAGAAATTTTGATTTAATATTTTGTACAATTTACTTCTGTTTATGTACTTGTATTATTTTGAATACTCATTGTTAAAAAGAGAGTTGTGCATTACATGAAATTCTGCTTTTCTATGATTAGCAATTGTTATAGCAATAGATGAGGTTTTCATCATCTAATTTACTAATTAAAATTAAATTAAATACCTTTAGAAACATCGAGGAAAAAATATCAGTCTGGAACTGAATTTATAGATGATTCTAATGCACAATACCTACAGATAGAACAGATGTATTACTACCAATTAAACCAACTAATTTCAAGTCGGTCTTTACCTCTAAACACACGTAAAGTATGACAATTCTAATCATTATAACTGTACAGATTGTTCACGTTGTGAACTAGGATCTCCTCATTACAAAGATTTTCTATGGAATAAATCAGTCATGACTTCTATTCTCTTCCATACAGAATGAGGAAAATGTTTATTTGTTTATATATATTCACATACCCTGTTAATCTGATTTCTAGATATACAATATTTTTATATGCAATTTGTTTCAATTGAAATAAAATGATATAATTTGTAAGTAAATAAATTTGAAACAAATGCGTAAGGAGCACAACATACAATAATTAATGACATTAGTGAGTTAACATTTATAATTAAGAATGTTAATGTTTATAATTAAGAATGCAATGATCTCAATTTGTATGCGCTGTAACTTATGATTATAATTAATGATTGTTTTTTAAACGTTTTTAAATACTATTAATGATTAAATTTTATTCTATATCAATGTAAGTTCTTAAGAAATTAAATGTTTTTGTACAGAACATTAGTGTATAGTAGTTCTGAAACATGTTTTATATTCTTGATGAAATTATGATGATTGATTTAAAAATTAGAAAAACTGTAAACCTTTAGAGTTAACTCACTTAATTATGTAGTTTATTTTTAAATATAAATAAATAAACAAACACTCTACCTCAGTTAAAAGTACATTACTATATATTAACAGATATAATGATATTAAATCTGTGAATATATGAGAAACTGATTGGGATTAATTAATGTTATAAATTTCTATATCTTCAAATTTAATGGTATATTATGAAAGTGTGATTAGAAGTTTTTTTTTCAAACTGTAACAGATGGAAAATTTCAAAATGAATCAATGTCCTAAGCACGCTCTCCACAGCAAATTTAATCTGAATACCGGTGAAGTTATAGTGTCTGAAGATCAGTACGGTCATCTACAGGTAAATCAAAATTTGAAAAATAATTTATCTGTCTCTTTTAGTTTTTGTTCATAATAATATTTTATTATACAGATTGATGTTGTTTCTCTATATTTATTAATGCTCGTTCAAATGATCACATCAGGGCTACAAGTAAGTTTTAGGAAATTATAAACTCTTTAATTGTTTATATTAAAAAATATATTAAGTAAATTAATTATTCATTTTTAGATAGTTTATACAATGGACGAAGTTAATTTTGTACAAAATCTTGTCTATTATGTTGAACGAGCCTATCGAACTCCTGATTACGGCATGTGGGAAAGAGGGAGTAAATATAATAACGGTACCCCGGAAATTCATGCAAGGTACGATTTTGAAAAGTTTTAATGTAAAAATTATTGTGATTTATATAATTTATATTAAATAGCTCTTTGGGAATGGCAAAATCTGCCTTAGAAGCTATCAACGGCTGTAATTTATTTGGTGATAAAGGTGCATCTTGGTCTGTGATTTATGTTGATATTGATGCTCATAACAGAAACAGGAGTATTTTTGAAACGCTTCTACCAAGAGAATCTAGTTCTAAGGTAAGGGATTGTGATGTAACAAATCAATGTATAGTTATTACATAGTTGAAATACACGACTTTACGTAATTGTAATTTTAATATTTTCAGAATACTGATGCCTCTCTCTTACCAACTATAAGTTATCCGTGTTTTGCAACCCACGACGAACTTCTCTATAATCGGACAAAGGAGAAAGTTATACGAAAGTTACAAGGAAACTATGGTTTCAAAAGGTTTTTGCGTGATGGATACGGAACGTTTCTTGAAGATACGAATCGAAGATATTATAAACAATCTGAAACAAAGGTATGATTTTATTTTAGAAATATTTTTTTAAGAAATGATGGTTTCAACTTGATTACAAACAAAAAAAATATCATTGTTTTCAATTTTTATTAAAATTTTTAATTTAAAGTAAAGATTTTACTACTGTTATGAAAAATAAAAGGTTCTAGAACTTCTCTTCTTTAATTTATTAAAAGATAACAGTATAAATATATATAACTTTCTTGGTATTTAATGTAGCTTTAATTAAAATAATTTTGTTTAATTAAGATAAATTATATATAATATTAGTGTGATAAATTGACATGAATGTTTGATTTTATATAGGAATTCGACAATATAGAATGTGAATGGCCAATGTTTTATCTGTTTTTGATACTTGACGGCAAGTATTTAAAGGAATAATACAAAAATTTAAATTTGATAAACTTCTCAATCTTAGCAAATGAGAATAAGAGTAATTCAATTTTTATTTTTTAATTAGGAATATTCAAAGGAAAGGAGGAGCAAGTGAAGAAATATCACTCACTTTTAGAAGGCAAATTAAAGCATGATCGATACGGCGGTAAACTATTTAAAGTAATTTATTATTAATTTGATACTAAGAGTTATATCGTTTTATAAATTCCATTTATAGATGGAGTTATAGTGAAATACTTTTATATACCATCTGAATATCTGGAAAAGGAGAGAGCAGATCCTGGTTCACAAATGCGATGTCCTAGTGAAGAAGGGGACAGCTCAAATATGTTCCTTTTAGCTCAGTCATTATATATTATTTCTGAATTACTGAGTAAATAAACTTATATAGTTTTTATTTTGCAAGAATAAATCATTAATTATTTTTTATTTTTGTAGAAAATTTATTGACTTACTTCATTCTTTTTAATTATCAGTCGACGGTTTGCTTCATATTAACGAATTGGACCCGATTAGACGTTACTTACCGTCTTACAATCGTCCTCGGAAAACTGGACGATATTCGGCTTTTCAGGTGAGAAATTTTCTGTTTTACGTTTAAGTCAACTTGAGAACTAGCAAATAAAATATATAATTTGGTGAAAAATATAAAAGGCAGTTGTCAGGAGGGAAAGCAAATCATTGGCCTTAAGTTTCTAAATGTGATGCCACTGTATGTTGTGAAGGAGTTTAGAAAAAAGAAA